ATGACACGGGCATGTTACTTAACTTCTCTCAGCCTCAGTTTCCTGCTTTGAAAAGTAAAAGTATTACAACTACTTTGGATGATGGTTGCAAATAAAAAAGAAAATAGTATTGTAACTGGGCCAGGAGAGCCTCGACAAACATTACTGGTTTTGCCCCTCTAGGCAGGGTATCATCTCCTGGGCCCAACCCATTGAACTAGTGGGGCTATCTGAGCTTGGGGAAGAGTCATTTAGGAAATGAGGGGCTACTCCCTACAGAACTTCATAATCGGCTCCTTCTGCTGGTGCAGCTGGGCGGGCGCATGTGGTCCTCATCACGGCTTCTGGGTAGGAGGAGAAGCAGGGGTTGGGGTTGGGGGTGGTATGTTTGGGGAGTCTGAAAGGGTCTGGTGGTGTTGGGGGGCCCTGAGAACACAGATGTCTCAAAGGCTGGCCCAGCCTGTGCACCCCTTCCCTGGGTGGTTTGGGGACAGTTGGGGGGGGCAGGTGTGGCTGGCCTCTGGGGAAGGCAGCCCAGATTCCACTGGCTACCACACTTCCCTTTTCACAACTTTCTCAACCCCATGATTTCCCATGTCATCATGTGACACCCCTCCCCCCCCCAACAGGCCTTGGCAGGTGTGAACACAGCATCAGCTGGCAGGCATCTGCAGGGGGCTGGCTGGGGAAGTACAACCCTGTTTATTCCTCAAGGGGGGATTCCCTCTCTGCTCCCCAGCCCAGTCCTCCCATGGCTCCTGAGGCCTCGCCCACTCCCTGGAGGTGACCCATGGCCCTACAGACCAGACCCACAAAACCCACAAATTTTCCTTTCACACACCTACATCTTTACACACTCACCCACAGAGACTGAGACATTTGGCCACATTTTGGGGACACAAACTGACACCCGTCCTTGTGTCAGTATTCATGCTCATCACTGTCCACGCGCTGGTGCATGAGTGAACACACATAGAGGAAGCTGAATCTTGGGCCCCACATCTTGCTTCCCGCCTGGACAAGGAGTTGTTGGTGAGGCTCCAGAGGTACCCGGCCCGGGCCTGGGGGAGTGACTCGCCCCAGAATCAAGGGTTGCGTGGGCTTAAGCTAGTCTCCAAATGCCTCTTGGTATTTTGCAGGCAGACCATGTGGACCCTGGTGAGCTGGGTGGCCTTGGTGGCAGGGCTGGTGGCTGGAACACAGTGCCCAGATGGTCAGTTCTGCCCGGTGGCCTGCTGCCTGGACCCAGGAGGAGCCAGCTACAGCTGCTGCAGTCCCGTTCCGGTGAGTGTCCTGCAGCCCAGGCAGGACTTGGCAGCCCGGGATGTCCCGAAGGGGCATCTCAGCATGGCCAGAAGAGGGGACCTTCATTCTGTCGTCTCCTCTTGCTTTCCAGGGCCAGTGGCCCACAGTGCTGAGCAGGCAGCTGGGCAGCCCCTGCCAGGTAGATGCCCACTGCTCTCCTGGCTACTCCTGCCTCGTCACCATCTCAGGGACCTCCAGCTGCTGCCCGTTCCCAGAGGTGAGGGTGCTGTTAGCTCGGTGGAGGGGCTCAGGTCTGCATTTCGATGTTCCCCCTGCTCACCCCAGGTAAAAGGGCTGAGCCAATGCAGGTGTCTCTGTGTCCCACAGGCCGTGTCGTGCGCTGATGGCCGCCACTGCTGCCCGCGGGGCTATCACTGCAGGGCTGACGGGCGGTCCTGCTTCCAAAGATCAGGTGCGGCAGGAGCGGAGGTGCACGGCAGGCAGGTGGACAGCATGTGGAGGCTGGATGGCCCAGGAGCCCAGCCAGCTGGGTGACCTGATTCCTGCCCTTGTGCCCTCATTCTTGTGGCATCTGTACTAAGCAACCCCTTTGCTCCAGACAGAGGGACAGCACGAGGCTGGGAAGGGGCAGGAGAGAATGCCGGACTCCAGGCCCTGGGCCAGGCATTGGGAGGGTGGAGAGAGGCCAGGCCGGGGTGTTTTAAGGCCACCGTAGTCAGTGGACGCCCCTGCCTTGTGCCATATCACTGAGGCAAGGACTGGCTGGTGGGGAGAGTGGGTTAGGAGTGTCTGGGAGAACGCCGAGCCCTAGTGCCGGACCCCCAGTCCCCCTGGGAGCTGGGCCTGCAGCTCCTTGAGTGATGGGAGCGATGGCCTTCACTAACCCGGGTTGGCCGAATCCTGGGTCCTCCTGTCCGCAGATACCAACCCCTTGGGTGCCATCCAGTGCCCTGACAGCCAGTTCGAATGCCCCAACTCCTCCACGTGCTGCACTATGCGAGATGGCTCCTGGGGGTGCTGCCCCATGCCCCAGGTACGGGTTCGGGAAGCTGGGGGTGCGGGGAGCAGCCAGGGCAGGGCAAGGGGTGGGAGGGGGCAAAGACAGAGGTCGGGAGCATCTCTCGTCAGGCTTCTTGCTGCGAAGACAAGGTGCACTGCTGCCCCCATGGGACCTCCTGCGACCTGGCTCATGCCCGCTGCCTCACGGCCACGGGCACCCACCCCCTGGCGAAGAAGGTCCCTGCACAGAGGAGTAACAGGGCAGGTAAGGCGGTGGGAGAGCATCGGGGTGTGGTTTGGAAGGGAGGCGAGGCCTCGTCTGGCTCCCAGCTCCCCAGCTCGGGGAAGAGTTCCTCAGGGCTGTAGCTGCCCCGCCCGCCTCTCTCCCCTTCCAGTGGTCCTGTGCCCCGATGGGCGGTCCCAGTGCCCTGATGGTTCTACCTGCTGCGAGCTGCCTAGTGGGAAGTATGGCTGCTGCCCAATGCCTAATGTGAGTGAGGGGCTGTGTGCTCACAGCTGGGGCGCACACCTACTTCCCAGGGACTCCAGGGGTTGGGGCTGGCCGGCAGGTGGGGGGGGCGGGGGGCCAGCCTGGCTGCTCGGGACTCATGCCGCCCCCTAGTGGGGGATTGAGGCAGTGTCAGCTGTCACCTGGCCGCTCCCTGAGCTCCCCTGAGACCCAAAGTCCCAGAGACCATCCCCCACCCCCACGCAGGCCATCTGCTGCTCGGACCACCTGCACTGTTGCCCCCAGGACACTGTGTGCGACCTAGTCCAGAGTAAGTGCCTCTCCCAGGAGAACACTACGGACCTCCTCACCAAGCTGCCAGCACACACAGGTACCAGAGGCAGGATACAGACCCCATTCCACCGGCTCCGTGTGCGGGAACTCTCCACGAATTGTTCCAGGAACAGATGCGGGGGTGGGGGACTAAGGGCCACATGGAGGGGACAGGGCGGATACGGCCCCCTCTCCTCCACAGTAGTCATTGCCTTCGCATCACTGCTGGGGTGGCCTAAGGATACTGTCCATCCTCAGCATCTGGCTCTAGCTGTGGAGCCGGCCAAGGGTTGGGCTCCCCAGGGCGCCCCACGGCCACTGCTGACCCGTCCTCCGTGCCTTTCTCACAGTGCAGGAGGTGAAATGTGACATGGAGGTGAGCTGCCCAGACGGCTACACCTGCTGCCGCCTACAGTCGGGGGCCTGGGGCTGCTGCCCTTTTGCCCAGGTACCCAGGAGCGGTGGGTGGGCCGGGCTGAGCAGAAGGCAGCAGCCAGCGAGGCCCCTGGGCCCACTGTCCCCTGTCCATCCACCCTAGGCTGTGTGCTGTGAGGACCACGTACACTGCTGCCCAGCTGGGTTTAAATGTGACACAGAGAAGGGCACCTGTGAACAGAAGGCCCACCACGTGCCCTGGATGGTGCGGGCTGTAGCCCGCCTTCGCCTGCTGAACCCCCAGGCCATGGAGAACGATGTCCCCTGTGATAACATCACTAGCTGTCCCTCCTACAATACCTGCTGTCAACTCGCATCCGGGGAGTGGGGCTGCTGTCCTGCCCCAGAGGTGCGTAGGTGGGGGGAGAGCACTGGGGGGGGGTCGCGACAGTGTCTTGGCCTGGGCAGGTGGTCAGACTCCTGTTGCTTTGCTCTTCTGTCCTCTGGCCCGCAGGGGGCCCACCAGCTCGGTCAGGTTCATTCCCAGCTGGAGGAGCTGTGAGCGGGAGAGAGAGTCGGGATAGGCAGGAGCTCAGCTTTTCTGTCCCACATCGCAGCTTCCCAGACCATCCTGTGCTGCCCCCCGCAGGCTGTCTGCTGCTCAGACCACGAGCACTGCTGTCCCCATGGCTACACGTGCTTGGCCGAAGGACATTGTCAGAGGGGGGGCGAGACGGTGACTGGACTGGAGAAGACACCTGCCCGCCGGGCTTCCCCGTCTCGCCGCAGAGACATAGGCTGTGACCAGCACACCAGCTGCCCCGTGGGGCAGACCTGCTGCCCCAGCCTGAGTGGGGGCTGGGCCTGCTGCCAGTTGCCTCACGTGAGTGCCCGCCTGCCTTCCTGGACCGGAGAGCCGAGTTCCCCTCCCACCCCCCCACCCCCGGGGGAGGAGGAGAGAGGTGAACACCACCCTGTCCCTCCCAGGCTGTGTGCTGTGAGGACCGCCAGCACTGCTGTCCGGCTGGGTACACGTGCAACGTGAAGGCTCGAACCTGCGAGAAGGAGGCCGACTCGGCTCACCTGGCCGCCCGCCTGGCCCGTGGCCCTCGCGTGGGTGTGGGGAACGTGGAGTGTGGGGCAGGGCACTTTTGCCACGATAACCAGACCTGCTGCCGCGATAGCCGAGGGGGCTGGGCCTGCTGTCCCTACCCCCAGGTGAGTGCCCCCGCCCCGGGGCTGGGGGGTATCCATGGGAGCCAGGCCTTGCCATGGCCCAACTCTGACTCCCCGCCCGCCCCCCCGGCCATCCAGGGCATCTGTTGTGCCGATCAGCGTCACTGCTGCCCCGCTGGCTTCCGATGCGGGTTCAAGAGCACCAAGTGTCTGCGGAAGGAGAGCCTGCGCTGGGACATGCCACTGAGGGACCCAGCCCCGAGACAGCTGCTGTGAGGCGAGACTAAGGACTGAAGACAGTCTGCAGCCCTCGGGACCCTGCTCAGAGGGTCCCTACTGCTCAGGCCTCCCCAGCACCTCTCCTCCACCAAATTCTCCTGGAGTCCCCCATTCTGATCCCCCCCCCATCATGGGAGGTGGGGCCTCAATCTAAGGCCTTCCCTGTCTCAAGGAGGGCCGTGGTGAAAGCCACGTAACGAGCTGCCATCCCCTCCCCCAATTTCCGTGGACCCTATGGCCAGGTGCTCTTCCCTATCCACAGGCGTGCGTGTGTGTGTGTGTGTGTATGTGCTGCAGTAAAGTTTGTACACTTTCTTAACAGTGTCTGATTTGGCCACCCTGCCGGCCCCCGCCCCCCCGAGCAAGGGCCCCCATCCAGTGTCCACATTCCCCAACCCCACAGAAAGACACACGCGGAGTTAATCTCACCAGTTTTATATTTGCTGTTGCCCACAGCAATCCCATCACATGATCCCCTAGTCCCCAGAGCCGCCCCAGCCACCAGAGGTGGGCTGGTCAGCAAGCAGCACCCCCTCCCCTCTCGGGCGGGGTCCCCAGAGAAGGTCCCCTCCCTTCCCAGCCCTCACACTAGCAGCTGAGGCCCAGTCGCCCCTCCTGCTTTCCCACGATAGATCTTTCTATGTACAGCCGCGTTTACAGAGGCACTGCTTCCCCCCACCCCCAGCCCTCCTTCCCCAGCCCCTCCCAGTGGGGGTCTGGACCCCTCCCACCTCCCTCTCGGAGGCCGACACGGGTCCCTCCCGAGACATTACCCAGCACATAACACCGGACA